CTGTCAAGGAACAGAAGGAGATCAAAACCTCTGTGTGGGACTTCCAGCCCCCGCAGAAGGCTCGTGGGGAGCCCGGACTCAGCTGCTGGAAGGGATAAATCAGAGGCCAGGGGGGCAATTCCCACTCTGGGGCTGTTTGGGGCTGTGATCGCCTCTCAGAAGAGGAAGGGCTGGAGCGGGACCGGTCCCGCCGTGCCGGGGCTGCTCCGGCGGCTCCCGCGGCGCCATCTCGTGTCCGCACCGGGGGTGGCCTCTGTCCCGGCATTGTCCTCTGTCCCGGCATTGTCCCCTGTCCCGGCTCTGTCCCCCGTCCCGGCTCTGTCCCGGCATTGTCCTCTGTCCCGGCTCTGTCCCCCGTCCCGGCTCTGTCCCGGCATTGTCCTCTGTCCCGGCTCTGTCCCGGCTCTGTCCCCCGTCCCGGCTCTGTCCCCCGTCCCGGCTCTGTCCCCTGTCCCGGCATTGTCCCCTGTCCCGTCTCTGTCCCCTGTTCCCCGTCCTCTGTCCCCACCTCTCTGGCACCGTCCCTGTCCGCCCCTCTCCATCACTCTCGCCCCATCCCTTTGCCGCTCTTCATCACTTTTGCACCAACCCTGTCCCCTCTCCCTCACTCTTGTGCCATTCCTGTCCCTCTTCCTCTCCCACTGTCCCTGTTCCGCTCCATCACTCTCTTGTGGTCTCTGTCCCTTCTCCATCCCCCCTGCTGTTCCCGTCCCCTCTCCATCTCCATCTGTGCCATCCCCTCCACCACTCTCACAAGCCCTGTCCCGTCTCCCGTCTCACATTCCCTGCCCTCCCCACTCTCACACCGACCCCTCGGAGTCACTTCAGCCCTGGGCAGTTTCTGTGGGTGCCTGTGCCCTGTCTCCCCCTCACACCAGCTCTCTCCACCACGCCCAGCCCGGAGGAATTAACGGTGCAAAGGGGAGAAGCCAGGCTTAGGTATTAACACGCCACATTAATTTTATTTTTCCCAGAAAGTCTGTAAGAGAATAATCCCATAAAGCCAACAAGTGTGGGTGCTGTTTATGTAACGGTGCTGGCAGGGAGGCAGCGGGGTTATGTAAAGCCCTGTGCTCCCGAGGCTGTCCCGGAGCCACCGGGGGCTCTGCACTGCCCTGTCCCTCTGCGGGAGCTGCTCTGTGCTGCTCCCCCCTGAGCTGAGCCCCAGACGGGCCCAGCAGCCCCTGCAATGATGGGGTCAGCTGGAGCTCCCCTCTCGTGGAGATGCAGGATGTGCTGGCTGCTCCCACCCTGGGATGGAGCTCCTGGCCGGCTTCTGTTTCCTTTTCATTCCTGTTCCTGACACAGGGATCGCTTCTCACTCCAGTCCAAAATCCAGGCGTGGCCACAGCTGCCCTCCCCACCCTCCCTGGTGCAACCGAGCTGCCCCTGCTGCTCCTCCTGACAGGGGGAGGTCCAGAGCCCCGGGAGATGGGGATGGATGCGCCTCCGCCTTTCCCCATCCTTGGAAATCCTGAGCGCGGCATTCCCTGCACACCTGGGGCAGGCGGGCATCCTCGTTCCAGCTCTCTGTAGGGTGCTGAGGAGCCCTCCTTGCCCTTCCACCAACCCTCCTGTCCTCACTGACTGCATCAGCCTCCCCCGTCCTGGAGGAAAATGGGAATAAGTGTGTGAATTGTGATGGATGTCATGTTCCAGCTGAAGATACTCCAGGAATACAAAGTGGGATGAGACTGGATCCTTACTGAGACTGAAGGCTGGGGAGGAACCATCACACTGAGGGATTTTTAATGATTTTGCTCTTTCTGCTTTAATGGAGTTGATTTATTATAAATTTAAGGTCTTTCCCTGCATTTCCTCTAAGTCGGTTCTGCTCTAATCAGGTCAAAAGCTGATTTGCAAATAATCACCAGAGAAAGGGGGAAAAATCGAGGGATTTAAGCTCAAGCTGTGCATTCCATACTATTAATTGAAAGCCAGGAGAGATAATGTGTCTCTTCTCCTGGCTGAGACCCCTAAGCTGCTCTTAGCAGCAAACTCCGCTCTCGGCTCCGGGAATCACCTTCCGGCTGGGATTACACACGGGAAAATCTCCCCTGGGACGGAGGGAGTGAGAGGGCAGGAACTGGGGAGCACCGAGAGGTGCCAGAGCATTCCCAGCTCTGCACAGGGCAGCACAGAATCGAGAATTGTGTGAAAACTGGGATTAATGGGGAAAAGGCAGAGCTCTTGAGAGCGGGGCTGCAAAGGCAGGATGGGAATTTAAATATTTCTCTGTCACCTATTTTCTGCAGATATTTATGTGCAAGCTGTGCCTGGTTTGTCACCTTAGGTGAGTTTTTCAGGACAGACCATGTCTGTAGGTATATCTATATTTATCTATCTATCTATATATATAGACACAGTGACATCCTGCTGCAGGAATTCTGAACATACTTTTCCACACCTGCCCACACACTCAGAGGAGGGAAGAGGTCAATAATCAGAGAAATCTACTCTGGTATTAATTACATGCCATTACCGGGGCTTATTTGCTAATCCCCGTTCTAATCACCCTCTCAGTTATATTTCAACCAGCACCTCAGGACACCACATGTAATGAATAAAATATATATCAAAGTTTATTCCAGAGCAGGGGCAGCACGGTGCGGGCAGCGCAGCCAGGGTTACACAACAGACCTGCTGTCACACCAGCGGGGGCGCGGCACATTCGGGCGTCAGAGAAACCCCCCCAGCCCAGCCCAAACCCAGCGGTTTGGCTTTTTTTACATTTAAATTAATAAATAAATAGCGGGGGAACTGATGTTTTTCCCGGAGGATTCGTGCAGCTGCTGGGGAAGGCCGCGGCGGGGGCTCGGGGCGCTGCTGGCCCGGGCCGGGCACGGTTCCCCCGGGGGCGGTGGAGCAGGACCGGGGGGCCTCGGCAGCCGAACCTCAGCTATTCCCGGGGGGAACGGCCAATTCCTCCCGCTCCGAGCCGGCTCAGGGCTGTGGCACAGCCATGGGGACAGCGGCACCGGGGCCCTGAACAAGATTTCAGTCCTCAGGGAGAGCCTTCATCTCGGAGAGAGATTCTTCATCCCTCAGAGAGAGCCTTCACCCCGGAGAGAGAGCCTTCATCCCGGAGAGAGATCCTTCACCCCGGAGAGAGAGCCTTCACCCCGGAGAGAGCCTTCATCCCGGAGAGGGATCCTTCACCCCGGAGAGAGATCCTTCACCCCGGAGAGAGATCCTTCATCCCGGAGAGAGATCCTTCACCCCAGAGAGAGAGCCTTCATCCCGGAGAGAGATCCTTCATCCCCCAGAGAGATCCTTCATCCCGGAGAGAGATCCTTCATCCCGGAGAGAGATCCTTCACCCCAGAGAGAGAGCCTTCACCCCGGAGAGAGCCTTCACCCCAGAGAGAGATCCTTCATCCCGGAGAGAGATCCTTCATCCCGGAGAGAGATCCTTCACCCCGGAGAGAGATCGATCTCTTCACCCCGCAGAGAGATCCTTCATCCCGGAGAGGGATCCTTCATCCCTCAGAGAGGGGTCCTTCATCCCGAGCCCGTCTCCGCCTCCTCGTGCCTCCCTGCCAGCCCGCAGCGGCCGGCTGTGCCAGCAGGTGACATTGGCTGTCCCCAAGGACACTCGCTGCAAGCACCGGGAGCCTTGGAGCGCGGTCAGGCAGCGGAGCGGTCCCGAAGCGGCCCCGGTGGGAGGTGGGCAGTGCCGGTGGATGCGAGTCCCGGTCCCTTCCCGTTCTGTCCCCGCTCCGGCTGGAGCCCGAACCGCTGCCCAGGGGCTCCGGCCCCGAGCTCTGGACCCTCCGCCGAGGTTTGCAGGGGACACGTCAGGGCTGCCCCGTGTGAGTCCCAGCAGTGTCCCAAGGGCTGGGGTCCCCTCCCGGGGGCCCTGGAGCTCAGGCGGGGAAGGGGCCCTGCCCCACAGTGGCTGTCCTGAACCAGCTGCCTTAAGGAGGGAGGCGACCCCAGACCGGGCTGGGGGTGCTGCAAGATCCTCCAGTGATCCCAGACTCTGAAGGGTCTCCCAACCCCAGGGGGGTTCCCAGAACCTGCTGGGTCCCCCCAGCCTCACTGTGCCCCCCCAGTCTGCCAGTTCACTGCACACCCTGGACCCTGACCCTGCAGGGTCCTTCAAACATCACAACCCTCAGGGATGCTCTCCCCACCAAATTCCTCGGGGCACTCCAAGGTCTCCAGACCCTGCTGGGTCCCCTGGAGTGCCCTAGTACCACAAGGTCCCCTATGGAACCCCAAATACCCCAAAGTCTCTCCCCATCAGACCCCCTGGGCCACTGCTGGGGTCCCAGACCCTGCTGGGTACCCCCACCCCATAAAGTCCCCGAGACCCTGCAGGATCTCCCTGGCATCCTCGAGGATGCTTAAGCCCTTTTAACGCACTGGGTCCCATCCCACTGGATCCTCAGACCAGTTCAGGAGGAACCCCAAATCCACTGGGTTCCAGCCCATTGGATTCCCCAGACCCTGCTGGGTCCCCCCACCCCATAGGGTCCCCTGGACCCTTCACACCCTGCAGAATTCAACTGTAACCTCAAACCCAGCAGACTCCTCTAAAGAACCCCAGACCCCATTGGGTTACCCCACACCAGGTGGTCCCCCAGATCCTGCAGGGTCCCCAAGGCCCCTCACACCCACCACGGTGCCCCGGACCCCAGGACTCCCGAACCCACCAGATCCCATCCCACCAGACTCCCCAGGCCCTACCGGATCCCCCCACAGCACAGGGTCCCACAGTTCCATCAGTGAACCCACCCTCCACTTTCAGGGCCCCCAAACCCCCCGGGGTCCCCACGGCTCAAACCCCTTCAAGCACCCCCGACCCCTCCGGCTCCCCAAACCTCCCTTGCCCCCACCCTTTAGACTTCCCAAGACCCTCGGAAGGACTGGACCCCCACCAGGGTGTCCCCCAGATCCTGCAGGGTCCCCCAGACCCGCCGAGGCGTCCCCCACTTCCAGAACCCCCCGACCCCCCTCGAGTACCGCAGCCCCTGCAGCCCCCGGCAGCCGCGGTCCCTAGGCGGAGCCGCGGCTGGCGGGGGGCAGGCGGCGCACGGGGGTGCCCGGGGGGGCTCCGCGGCTCCTCCCGGGGGTCCAGGGCACGCAGCTGCGGAGGGCGCGGGCGGCGGCGAGGAGCGCTCCGGGCCGGGGCCGCGGGCGGCGGCGCAGCCCCTTCTGCAGCCGCTGGCTCTGGGCTGCCAGGGCCAGCTGCGCCTGGGCCACGCCGGCCCCGAGGCGGCCCAGGGTCTCTGCGCGGGCGGCCAGGCGCAGCTCGGCGTGCAGCAGAGCGCAGTGAACCTGCCGCACCCGCCCCTCCAGCTCGGCCGCCGCCCGCCGCCGCCCCTCGGCCGCCACCAGCCTCCGCCGCGCCGCCGCCAGCTCCACCGCACCGGGACCGCCGCCGCCGGGGCCGCCGGGGCCGCCGCGGGACGGGCGCTGCGCGTCGCCGCCGCCGGGGCTCGGAGGTGCCGGTGCCGCCGCTGCTGTAGCCATGGGAGCGGGAGCGGCGGCGGAGGGATGCGGCGGGGATATATAGCCCGGGGGCGGTGCTGGCGGCGGGGCTCGGCCCCGGCGGGGGCGGCTCCGGCACGGGCTCCGCACCGGCACGGGGGAAGGGGGTGGGGGACACGCGACCCCGCACCGGGACGGCGCAGCCCGGGGCTCGCTACGGGCCGGCACTGCACCGGCCCCGGGCTGGGTGCGGCACCGGGGCTGGGCACGGCCCGGTACGGCACCGCTACGGGCTCGATCCGGCTCCGGTGCCGGCACTGATGGGACCCCGGGCTCGGTACGGTGCAGCCCTGGCGGGGCTGCTCTGGCTCGGTATGGCCCAGTACGGCACCGTCAGGGCTCCGGGCTCCGCACCAGTACCGGGCACCGGGCTCGGTACAGCTCGGTGCGGCACCGCCCCGGCGGCTCAGCGCTGGAAAACGGCCGTCCCTTGGATGGTGTGAGGGAAATGCGGAGCTGGGGACGGGCGGGATCGCTGCGAAACGCTGAGAAAGTCACCGAGGGGTCACTGGGAAAGGCTGCACCGGGGGGCTGCGGCTGGGCTGTCCTGTCCCGGGGCTGTGGCTGTCACACGGCAGCGCCGTTGTCATTTACGGGATTAAAAAAGCGGGGAGGGGGCTGGCAGGAGAGGGGGCTGCAGCGGGAGGTGCCGCTGTCACTTTGCTCCCCCCAGAGCCTGGGTTTGGGGTTCCTCCTGCTGGAATGTCATTCTCAGCGGCTCCATCTTCGTGAAGGTGCGTGGGTCTGACATCGGAGCGGCAGAGAGAATAGAAACCAGGTGTCAAGGTTTCATCCCACCCCCCGACTGGAATAAAAGCCTAAGCCAAAAACAAAACCCAGCCTAAATCTGTTTCAGGCAGAGCCACATCCAGACCTTCAGTGGATGTCGCCCACGGGGCTGGTGACATTTTTGCATTCCTTACCTTAGGAGGAATAAAAACCCCTCATCTCCTGTGCTTTGCATCACTTTCGTGCTCCTGCCAGGCTGCCACACGTCTGCCAGGCACCGGAGCAGCGTCAGCGGCCGCTGCGTCACCGCTCCGGCCCCCGCTGCCGGCTCGTCCCATCCCCCGGCCGCCAGCGCATCCCCCCCGCCCGGGCTCGGAACACAGCTCCGACATTCCCCGGAGCTCCTCAGGCTGCTTTCCAGTCCGGCCTGAGCCATCCTCGGCTGTCCGATACAAATGCTGCTCTAAAATGGGGTGTAGAAGTTGAGGGATGCTGCTCCACCGTGGGGTTAAAGCTCTTTTCGCGCTTCCTCTTCCCCCAGCCCAATAAAACTGTGGGGACAGGCAGGAATTAAACAGAGCATCCTTCTCTCTCATTTCTTTGCTCTGATTCGGTGGAACCCGGACCCCCAAGGGTACTCCCAGAAGGGGAAAGGGCCGGGTGTGTCCCGCCCTGAGCTTCCCCTGCTCCCACAAAATGAAAGGCCGGAATTGCCGAGGTTGGAGGGAGCTCAGGAGGCTCCGTCATTACCTGCCCAGAAAATAATTCCCTTTTTCGGGTCACTCCCCGTGTCTGCGCTGCTTGATGCCTTCCCAGCTCCAGCCCCTGCTCCAGGGGGAGCAAAGGACGTGGAAAGGGGGAGCAGCTGTGCCTGGACACGAGTTTAAGGAATGAGAAGATGAGCTGGGGACACTGGGCAGTGGGGCTGAGGGTGAGCCCCCAGAGCAGCCGTGTCTCCAGGCTGTGCCAGCGCATCCCAGCGGTCCATGCAAATACAAGAAAAAGACAAGAAATGTCCCTGCCGCGAGGCAAGGCACAGCCTGAGTCCCCAGAACCCTCCGGCACTGCAGGATTTCTGCTCGGGCTGTCGAGCTATTAATGATTTAGCAGAGGAGGCTGCAATTAGCAGCGCTCAGAATAAACCTCGGTGATGCAAAATCCCGGTGAGAGCTTTGTTCTCGCTTTGTCCTCCCTTCCTTGGCAGTGCCCCTCTGCCAAGGCACCACGCACCGGCATGGGACACCGGGGTGGGACAGGGATGTGACACTGGGGTGGGACACCGGGGTGGGACAGGGATGTGACACTGGGGTGGGACACCGGGGTGGGACAGGGATGTGACACTGGGGTGGGACACCGGGGTGGGACAGGGATGTGACACTGGGGTGGGACACCGGGGTGGGACAGGGATGTGACACTGGGGTGGGACACCGGGGTGGGACAGGGATGTGACACTGGGGTGGGACACTGGGATGGAACACCGGGATGGGACACCGGGATGGGACACTGGGATGTGACACTGGGGTGGGACACTGGGGTGGGACACTGGGATGTGACACCGGGATGGGACACTGATGTGACACTGGGATGGGACACTGGGATGGGACACTGGGGTGGGACAGGGATGGGACACTGGGATGGGACACTGGGGTGGGACACTGGGATGTGACACTGGGATGGGACACTGATGTGGCACTGGGATGGGACACTGGGATGGGACACTGGGGTGGGACAGGGATGGGACACTGGGATGTGACACTGGGATGGGACACTGGGATGTGACACTGGGATGGGACACTGGGGTGGGACACTGGGATGTGACACTGGGGTGGGACAGGGATGGGACACTGGAATGTGACACTGGGATGTGACACCGGGATGGGACACTGATGTGACACTGGGGTGGGACACTGGGATGGAACACTGGGATGTGACATGGGGATGGGACACTGGGATGTGACACTGGGGTGGGACAGGGATGGGACACTGGGGTGGGACACTGGGATGGGACACTGGGCTGGGACAGGGATGGGACACTGGGATGTGACACTGGGATGGGACACTGGGATGTGACACTGGGATGGGACACTGATGTGACACTGGGATGTGACACTGGGATGTGACACTGGGATGTGACACTGGGATGGGACACTGATGTGACACTGGGATGGGACACTGGGGTGGGACCCACGCCACCCTGCGGCCAGCACAGCCCCCGGGGCTCCCCGGGGACACGGGGATTAGGGATGCAGGAGGACAGAGCCGAGGGATGTGCAGTGGCCTCGTCTCCAGCCTCTGTAAAGCCCTGAGCTGGGATGTGCTCCAGAAAAGCGAAGCCTCATTACAGGCAGCAATAATTAATGTCCGTGCCATCTCTCCCAGCCCCTCCCCAGGCTTTTTCCCGGGTGTCCCAGTTACCGGGGCAGGAGGGGCTCAGGCTCTGCTCTTTCATCCTGGCACAGTTTTAGGGAAGGAATCCTGCACCAGGATTTCAGGTTTAAGCCTCAGGACCCAGCTCCCTGTCGCATCATCCCGGACCCACCGAGCTCGGCTGCTCTGCCCGGCCCGGGGGTCCCGGGGTTTGTGCCGGGGTCTGTGCTCAGGTCTGTTCCCGGGTTTGTTCCCGAGATTTTGTTCCCGGGTTTGTTCCCGGGATTTTGTTCCCGATGTTTGTTCCCGGGTTTATTCCCGGGATTTTGTTCCCGAGATTTTGTTCCCGGGTTTATTCCCGGGATTTTGTTCCCGAGATTTTGTTCCCGGGTTTATTCCCGGGATTTTGTTCCCGATGTTTGTTCCCGGGTTTATTCCCGGGATTTTGTTCCCGAGATTTTGTTCCCGGGTTTATTCCCGGGATTTTGTTCCCGATGTTTGTTCCCGGGTTTATTCCCGGGTCTGTTCCCGGATTTGTTCCCGGGTCTGTGCCCGGCCCTGTGCACGGAGCAGCTTCGCCCACCGCACTCTGCTGTCCCTCGGCGCGGCCCGTCCGGGTCACGTGGCGCACCTGGCCCAGGTGAGGCGGGGCCGGACGCGCTCCCGGCTCGCAGGTAACGAGAGCCCGGCCCGGCCCGGTCCCGGTTCTGGCCCCCACCCGGCCCCGGCGCTGGCATCAGCCCCGGCATCAGTCCCGGCTGCGGCTCCGGCTCCGGCCCCGCCGCCCGGCGCTTCCCGCCCGGCCCGGCCCGGGGGCAGGCGCAGGCCGCGACCGGCAGGGAGGGAGGGCCCGGCACCCCCGGCACCCCCGGCACCCCCACACCGGGATCCCCTCCGCCCCTCCCGTGCCCCCGCCGCGGAGCCTTCTCCCCTTCCCCGTGCGCGCCAGGGTCCCCCGGCACAGGGACCCTCGTGTGCCCCGGCCCTGGCTGGGGACAGCGCCCGGTCCCGGCTGGGGCCGGCTCTGATTGCCAGGGCTGGAAAATGAAGTGGGGGGCGCGGTGGGAGCCTGTGCAGAACAGAACAGGCTGGGATGGGTCTGTCCTCTGCCGTTCCTGCTTCTCCTCTCCCCAGAAATCCCCCGTGGAGGACATGGTGGGGGCCAAGGTAGGCAGAGGGGACTCTGTTCGTGCCCAGGTGGGTCTCCCCTTCTCCTTCCAATTGGCAGGAGGCAGTTCCTTGGCCAGGGGTTTCTGTCTCAAATGCTGAGAGAGAAGATGCTGCATCCCCAGGGATGCACAGGGAGGATGCTGGATCCACGTTTACTCTGGGTCAGGGTCTCCATCCCTGCCCGGTGCCAGCAGTTGGGAGCAGGACCTTAACAGGTGACTTCCAGCTCCTTAGGACACTCCACAGCTGTGGATGCTTGCACAGAGCTCAGAGGAGCTGTATCAGTGTGTAAATCCTGGAATTTAGGAGGCATTCCCTGGCTGCCAACAACACTGGTGTGTATAGGCAAAGGGATGTGACGTTGTTCAGGAGATTCCCAGCTTAACTGAGCTTTTTTAAAACTTTCCAAGGAAATCCCGCCCTCTGAACAATGAAGATCTTAGACCCTGGCTAACTCTGAGTGCTGCAAACCCTGTGTAGATCCCTCCTGGCTCCTCTGGAGCAGATGCTGAGCCTCTCTAGAGGGATCTTCTCCAGTCACTCACGGTGCCTGTGTGAGAGCAGAGGAAGCTCCCAGCCATCGTGTGAGTAACACTTGGATGTGGATTTTGGTCTGAGAGTTTATTTATGGCTGAGGGTTTTGGTCCAGCCCCTTCCTGTGCTGGGGAAGCTGCTGGATCGAGGAGCTGCGTCCTTTCTGTGCTCCTGAGGAGCTT